TTTTCTCTGACCAGTGACCAAGCATGATTATTTGACAGATCTCAAGGTTGCTGGCAACTGTTTATGTACTTTCTACCTCATTGAAGCAATGGTCTATATCTCCATGTGATGAAGGTTTCGAAAGCCGATTGGGTTCATTCTTCCATCAGGCATCACTAGGAACCCATCTTAATCAGCAGATTGCATATAGCATCATGCAGAGAAAACAAACCCAAGTCGTTGCAGATTCTGAGGTATCGACTCCTGGAAATTTTGTTTTTCCAACTTCCAGAAGCATCTTTCAAGCATATTTCTGTTTCTTGTAATAAGTATCTACTTAATAAGTGATGGCGACGAGATCGCATTGGCATATTTGTCACGCTACGATCGGCTCAGGGTCTAGAAGATATTTATCGCATTTATTATCTATTTTCCTTCTTTTATTGGTTGTCTTATATTATTAGTTGTCCTTTATTTATTAGGAGAGTTATTATTATTTCTATATTTTAATTAGGAAAATAAGGGTAGGAGCCTATATATTGTGGGTTTCTTTGTTTTGGAAGACTTGGTTTTTATCGTTGAAATAAAATTATCCTTTGAAGTTCTTCTTCTTGTTCCCATCGTACGCTTCAATCTACGTCAATAAGTCGTGCTTAATTGATCGATATAGTTCTAGTTACACGCTTAATTTACAGTTCCTCTTAAGTACTATCAATTTGCATTCTGGATTTTGCTGTTAAATGCGTTCAAATGTAGTAGTCTGGGGCTAACATGTCTAAAGAAAAAGCATGTAGAACTGCAGTAGCTGTATGGATCACTATGACACTAATATCTCCATCTCCATGTTTTCAAATATGGATGATCATGTGTGTCCTTTCCGTACATTCAATGTAAACATTTTAGTATTTTAAGTTGCTTTTTTTTTCCTTTTTTTTTTTCCTAATAACTTTCTGATTCATTATAAGTCGCAAATGAGTAGATACAAAAGTATCAAGCCATAGATGTGGTTTATTATTTTCCATTTTGTCAATGCAATATAATTTTAGAACGGATCTTATTTCAGCCAAATTTGATATATTGATAAATTGATCACTGGGTAAGCATTCTTTTATGACTCGTGTTTCCAGGATTCTTCTCTTCTATACTCGGAGTCAACCATTCCAGACATATCTTGTTCGCTAAGGTTATTATCTGACAATTAATTATTTTGTATTTTGAAATATTGTTATAGGTTTTTCCCCTTTAACCTCTTGTTTCCAGGTCTGCTCCTGAGTCTTCCGAGGATCTGGAAGAATTTGTTCAAAATTTTTTTGAGGGCCTGCCACCAACTCCAGTCATCTGCATTAGTATTATTGCAGGTGCTGATGGTACATTGATTAGTGAACTCTTGTGCTGTTCTCCATTTGTTAGAGCATGGATTCTCTTATCCCATCTGAGCTCAGATAATCAGCACGTTGTACTTTTACCCGTGTACAAAATGTTGGAAGGTATTTCAGTTCATATATTTTGTAGATATGAAATCTTATGCATATTGATAGCCTTCATTAGTTCCAATGTTAATTTGCTTCATTATTTTATGAGATGCTTTAGATGATGATGCTAGTTCAAGCTCAGTTATCATCAACTGCAAAGATTGTGTCAAGCAGTGGCAGTGCCCTTGGGTCTCCTCTGTGATTGATGACATAGCCCCAGTGTTCAGAAATGTACTTGAGGGAAATTACTATTCATCGTCGGACTATTTCTTGGAATGTATTAAAGAGAGCACATCATTATGGTGGGCACAGAGGAACAGCCTTGATCAATGCCTGAGCAACTTTCTACAGTAAGATTCAGCTATCTCATTCTCCGAGTGCTTTCCTTCGGAAGCTTTTCTTGATTTACAATGATTAATTGCAACTTACTACCACCCCCAACCCCTCCAAGAAAAAACAGCACGAACGAGTTCAGATGGTTTTTTAGTTTAAAGCATTTAATATTCAACTTATACTCAAAGTCCATCCTTGCAGATTTTGTAACATGAGTTAAAATTTTCTCTCCACTGGCTTTATTTGTACTAATAAATGGGTCTGGAGAACTAACCCTCCAAACTCAAAGGGAGAAGGTGTAGGTGCAAGTCCAATTGGGTCTGGACAAACATAACTTCTAATACCCGCCTTCACGTGTAGGTGCAAGTCCAATTGGGTCTGATCCAAATCTAGCATCACCTCCAAACAAACAATCTTGGTTGCTTTGATAACATGATAAATGAACCTGAGTAGAACTCATCCCAAAAGCTTGTTAAAAATGAGAAGATGCCCAACCCACACTTATACATACTAACGACCCTATAATCAATTGATGTGGGACACACACAAGTTCTAAAATCTACTATGTTGTTATGCAAACAATGAGATTATATATTCTTACAAAATCACTACGCTTAAGTGATGTTAATATCAAAATGCCTGATGTACCAGGGATATGGAAGGCTTGTGGCTTGGTCCTTGGAAGCACGTGCTTCTAGGTGAATGGTTGGACTGCAACTATCTAGACTCTATGCAAAAGAACCTCTCTAAAGATGAGACACGCCTCTTGGAGCTTGTTGCAACAAAAAAATGTTATGTTGGTCTGAGGTGTGAAGCATCTTCCAAATCCTCGGATGAATTCGATAATACAGTACAGTTATTGTTCAAAAGAGTGCTCGAAATGTCTGACAATTTTCAGGCTGAATACAACAGAAAACCTATCATTTTGGTTTTGGACTTCGATGTGCAGGTTTGTGTTGTTTTCTGTATCCTTGATGTCCAACTCTCCACTTATTGCTTTCATTCCAGCTGTTTATCCTTTTGTTATTTTTCTTTTCTTTACCATAAGTTCTGGTTTTGTAAGTTACAGCTAATATTGTTTCAGGATGCATGTTAATATATTAGTTTATGTAAGTCGCCTCATATTCTTGAATGCTGATGTTTTTTTTATGTTTTTATTATTATTATTATTATTATTATTATTATTATTATTATTATTATTATTATTATTATTATTATTATGTCCAATTAACTTAACTGATCAGTTATATTTGTTAAGTTCATCTACCTCTTTGCACTTCGTGTGCACATAGTGCCTCCATTATAACATATGATTCACAATTTTTTTTCTGCAGATGCTTCCATGGGAGAGCCTACCAATATTAAGAAATCAAGAGGTTTACCGAATGCCTTCAATAAGTAGCATTTTTGCAACACTTGACAGATGCCAAGAACAATGTGAGACAAGTAGTTCAGCCTTCCCACTGATAGATCCCCTAGATTCATATTATTTATTGAATCCAGATGGCGATCTCAGCAGAACTCAGATGGAGTTTGAGAGCTGGTTTAAAGATCAAAGTATAGAGGTAATCGTGCTTTGATGTGTGCTCCTTTGTCATTACTCGTACACACGTATAATATTCGGTGATGTTTCCCAATCATCCATATTTTAACATATAGTTGTCTGCACAAATTGTTTAATGCAGGGAAAAGTTGGAACTGTGCCCACTATCGAGGAACTATCCCAGGCCCTGAAAAACCATGACCTCTTCATTTATTTTGGACATGGAAGTGGTATGACCGACGAAAAAACTTGCAGCTAGTTGCAAATTCTGAATTTCATGCATGGTTAATTTAGAGTTTTATCCTTTAGGTTCGGTCTAGTTACTAAAAAAATTCCTACTTCCACCATTTGCCCATATATAAGTTCACTTATAGTTTACAAATTGCAACATTAATGAAGGAAATATCTGTCAAGTAAATTCTAATTTCAAAGGGGTGTTGGTGTTCCTAATACTTGATGATGTCTTTAGTTTTGAAAGATGGTAACTGATGTTTTGACAATTATATTAAATAATGAATGTATATATATATATATATTTTAAAGAAAGTTAACACTTTCCAGAATCCTTGTGCTGCAAATGAGTTAAATATGATCACTTTAAATGATGGCCTTATAGGTACACAATATATTCCGGGGCATGAGATTCAGAAACTCGACACCTGCGCCGCTACTCTACTTCTTGGATGTAGCAGTGGATCTCTTTACCTTAAGGGCTCTTATTTACCACAAGGGGCCCCAATTTCCTACATATTGGCTGGGTCCCCAGTTATAGTTGCAAATCTGTGGGAAGTGACGGATAAGGACATTGACAGGTTTGGAAAGGCAATGCTGAATGCGTGGTTGAAAGAAAGATCAGCCCTTTCATCTGAGTGTACTCAATGTAAAGCGCCTGTAAGAAACTCTACGTTCAGAATATGTAATCATAGGCCGAGAATTGGGTCGTTTATGGGTCAAGCTCGAGATGCTTGCCATCTTGGCCATCTCATTGGGGCAGCCCCAGTTTGTTATGGTGTTCCCACGGGGATAATTAAAAGGAAAGATGTATAGTAACTATTTGTTTTATTGTAAGTCAGTTTTTGTGGTGTTGATTGTAAATGAGATGGATTAGTGATATGAAGTATCCAAATCGAGTGACCTGTGCATTATATTCTTTTCCCCTACGAATACTATTGCACAATGCTGCATTCAAAGATAACTCAACCAAGAAATTAACAGATAAACAATGATCTGCTCACTGCTAAAAGGAAGAAATTGTTCCTGTCAAACCAGACTTTGAATTTATATATACTTAATATCTTGCAGGTTTCCAAGGCCATCGAGCCCAGAAAACACAATATTCAAACCTGTGAACCTCACCTATTTTTATTCTTTTTCCGCCAGAGAAATTATTCACAAAAGTTTTCAATAATCAACACAAGGAAACGCAATCAGGAGATTACGAGCTAAAATTACACGAAACAAGAGCCACACCCCCAGCCTCCATTCTCGAGCCATCCCTGTCACGCAACTCACGAATGTAAGCCAAGAGGCCAAATCATTGTACATGCAAAGACTTAAAAGAAAAGTTACAGGTCCATACATCTCTTCCCCTACCAGTCTTTGACATAAAAAATAAATACTGAAAAAATCCCTTTCCCAGCTCCAAAAGCTCCCAGACGTCACAAAAACAAACACTATATCCGAGCCCCACCCGCCTCCCTATGCCTTCTCCTTCTCCCCGAACGACCCAAAACTACCCTACCCTGACGGCGCAGCCTCCTAGCAAACGACGTTCCATTATCCCCATCTTCACCATCTTCATCCGAGTATTCAAACCCATCTCCCGACACCACTACCTCCCCAGGCTCTCTATCCTGCCTCACCCGGCCAGCAGACCCAAACGCCTGCAGAAACAAGAACACAGACATCAAATTCCGGTCTATCCCACCCACCCCAGCCCCAACCGAGCCGTCAAAAAGGTCATCATCATCCTCGTCGTCCGAGTAGTTTCCCCCCTCGATCACATAATCCCCGAAGAAGATAGCCCCAGGGGTAGACGATCGAATGGTGCTCATCACATCCTCTTGCTCCCTCTCCCGCTCGAGCCGCCTCCACCTCTGCTCCCGGGCTGGGTCCACCTCACGGGGCCTTGCGCACGGGTGCTCGGCACGCACGTGCTTCCTCAGCTCCTTGAACGTCCCCATGAATGGGCACCCATCCTGCATGCAGCCCCGCCGCTTGGCGTTGAGGTGTTCCCTAGCGGGCTCCACCACAGTCCACCCCTTGACCTGCCCACGGCAGAGCGGGCAGACGAGCTCCATGGGCGTGTTGTCGAGCGGGCCTGACGACACCTTGGCGTGGGCCTTGTGGTACTGGTCGAGGCAGTTGGAGTAGCGGGAGCTCGTACCACACATGTAAGGCCGGCAGCCCTTGTTGTGAGACGAGCAGAGGAGGAGAACGGCATTGTGGGGGCATTCCATGCAGACCGAGCATGTGGCATCTTCCCAGTCCTTTTTGACTAACTTGGGCTGTGTCTTTTGGTGCATGCTGTGTTTCTTGTCGTGGGTCCTCAGTGGGTACGGTGTAGGCCTGCACTGGCGGGAAGAGATCCCACGCCTGCCTCTCGTGCCTTTTGTCATTTCCTGGATAGGGTGCACTAAGACGTGAGATGTTTGACAAGCTTTGACTGATATTACGACAGAGAGTTATAGGAGATTTAACAGTTTTGGGAACAGATTTAAGAGAACCACACTCCACAGGTTCACACAGCCTTTACTGTGAGTCGGGAAGTTATTGTTTTAGAAATCAGTTTTCAGGTGGTATTTCAGATGGAGTCTTGTCGGGATACCAATGATGTATGAGCCAGAAGAAGAAAATAATGAATGGCTTAAGGTTTACCATAATTACAACAAAAACATGGTTTCCACAGAAATTTCAAATACCCACCTTGACATACAGTTTTATTTGTGAATTTTATGCATAGTCAGGGTTTAACTAGTATTATCTCAAAAGGGGTAAGTATAATTTTAGAAGATGACTGAACTTATCGGTCATGAGACAAATCTCAGGAGTTGGCTTGTCATTCGTAGAAAAATAATCGATGCACATTGCAGTCATGTGCATGTACCCTCGACTTAACAATTAAAGCAATAAGAATAGTGTTCATGTTCAGCTCTTCAAAAATGACGCACTACTAAGAGGGGGGTAGAGTTTACTGTCTTTAAGTGAAAGAGAGGTACACAACAGGGTGGTTAAGCTTTTGGCACGCGATGGAGAAAGCTTTCAAGGCAACACAGGGCTATTAATTTAATTTTATAACGTATTGGAGCACAACAAAATGCAACCAAGAACAAACAATGGATTATTCACAATCTGGGAAAAGTATTTATAAGCCATATACTTATCGAATGCTAAATTTAACTAAGAAATCGAGTGACAAGGAAACTAGCAAATAGCATTAGTTGACCAGAAATGCCCATCCTTGCACACAAGTAGTGAAAGGAAAATGCGGTGCCCAGGCTACTAGCCAAGTCCAGGATAACTGGAGCCAGAAGTGAGATAATATAAAGTAATACGATATGAGACACAATCAACATATTTTAAAAGATTCTACTGCTTAAAACATCAGCATGCAACTCAACCTTCTAGAACCACATAAAGAATCTGCCAAATCAAATCAGCTAAACCATTATCCACACATCTAAACAAAGGTGTGGGAAATGAGAACAACAATCAACAAACAACCTAGTTTGAATAAAATAAGATAATGCTAAATATGAAAAAGCTCATGAACTACCTCATTAACGCAACTCAGCAACATTGCATCTTTACAGTCAAATTTAGGCTACCTAGAAATGGGAGCAAGTACTTATAAAATCCTGAGCCCCATAAAGAACTCGATAATGAAATTGTAGATTAAAAGTTAAGTTCCATGGATTAGCTGGAAAGATCTTCCCCTAGTGAACAAAACAAGCCACCAAATGTAACCTATACTCATCTTTCAACTGAAAAGTTCACACAAAACAAAGAACAAAACCCACCTCACAATTCAGAAAAGAAAACAATTCTGGAACCCAACTGAAGAATTATTTGGCAGACAAAAGCAAAGGTCTCAGTTAGTCTATGCTTATGCAAATTTCAACCTTTAGTCAGTATGTAAAGTATTACGATGTTCAAGATCAGATGCACACATGCACACAAACATACATGCTTACAGAATACAATTAAGACATGAGAGATTCGGATAACATTATCATGGAGACATCGAAAACAAGAAACAACGTGCCACAGGATCAGAGTCAGGCGAGGCGACTAATAAAGCACTGCCGAATTTCTGCTGAAGCTCAATTTTTAATCAACCAAAACGCCAAAAAAAGGATAACCCATCAATTAAAAATTGCAGAAACTTTATATTCTAATTAATTTGTAATGCGAAAATCAAAGAAGCGATAAAGAAAATCAAATTAATAGCAAAGCAATCAATCGCAGAGACACATAACCACATACGTATCTCATCTGAGATTCTTTAATTTTTGTTCATAAATTCCAGGGACTCTCTAACTGCCAAATTATAGCAAAAATGCTTCCAACATACCTGAGAATTCGCTCGGAACGGAAATTGGTGGACGAAAATCTTTCGAGAAAATAGAGAAAATTGGTAGGGTTCTGCAGGGAAAAAAGAATATAATGAAAATGACAAGAAGATGGGGGATCAAAATGGCTATGGGCAGATCGAGAGATTTTCAGAGCGTGGGTATATTCCGAAGTTTTTGAGAATTTGGCTGGAGCCGGGCTGCCCCGCCCCGACCCACCCCGGGTTGGGCCGTAATATTTTAGGTCGGGCCTAAATGGGCTGTCCCTATTGAAAAACAGAAAATTCTAATTCTAAATTCAACGAAAACGTTGATGAGAAACCCTTTCACTTTTACATATAGAGAAAATCACCCCACCGACCGTCAAAATCAACTTTATTTGCACATGTACTCATCTTATTTTTTTTTTTGATCGTTAAATAAATTTGTATTGATCAAAACTGAAAGTCATACAACTGAGACGACTATCAAAAGCGTAGTGGGTAGACACATGTCGGCTCCTCACTCGCAAGAACCAAAATAAACGAGGGCAACCACAAGCCGGGTGCTCACTCGAAGAAGGGAAGCAATAAATTTCCTCTCTTCAATATCATCCAAGTGCTCACACACTTTGCAACAACCAACTCAAAATTTTTCAAAATTCAAGGCCAAAACATCTCCTTTCGAATTCGGCAAGAACACTCGGGTAGGTAGCAAAGATAGTACGGTAAACATGTGTTTTTACCTTTCTAATCACGAGGCTTGGAGGTTGACTTTCGCCTTCAAAAATCAGTCTATTGCGTGCGTTCCAAATGAAGTAGACGGTTGCCGCAAGTGCCGCTTTCTTCAATTTGGCTCGCCAAGTCGTACCTTTCCCTTCTTTTTTAGTCCATTTGAGGGCGCCTTTAAGGGTAGATGGCATGTGACGGAGGCTAACCCAAACTCTAATTGCACTCCAAATCTCCGAGCTATAGGGACACTCGAAGAATAGATGACTCGAGGATTCGTTTGCGGTACCACAAAGGAGGCATGTGGGGTCTTCGTTGAGGAACTCCAATCTATCTTTTGTTTGGAGCCTATTCATTACGCAGAGCCATAAGATAAAAGAATGCTTAGGGGTATTGCAACTTCCCCAAACAACCCCGGTCCATGGCTTCTCGATACCCTTGGGACGGAGAAAGTCATAGCACTTACTCATTCCATCTTGTTTGTCACGCAAATTCCAAGCACAGAGAAGGGCTTCCGCACCATGCTCACTACCCGCTTTTTCAATCAAGCTTTGCCGGACTTCAAAGAGGGATTTGAAGAGGGGGGAATCATTTTTGGAAACTTGTCAATCCCAAATAGTTTTCTCCTTCAAATAGATGTTGTGGATCCATTTGTACCAAAGTGAATCCTTCTTTGCTTGCATATTCCAAAGAGTCCTCATGAGAAGGGCTCGGTTCCAAGCGTCCAAGTTACGGAGCCCCAATCCACCCTCCGCACGAGGTAGACACAAAGTATCCCATGCAACGGGGGCTTTTTTGGAGCCCCATAAGAACCTCCTACAAAGTTGAATGATCTTGGTTCGAACAATGCCTGGCAAGTGGAATATGCCCATCCAAAAGCAAGCGATGCGTTGAATGACCAATCGAATTAGTTCCAATCTACCGGCATAGGAAAGGGAGTTACTCCTCCATCCACTTAATTGGCTTTCAACTTGTTTGATCATATCATCAAAGAGCCTCCCGGTAATGCGATCCGCGGTCAGGGGAATACCGAGGTAACGGAAAGGCATAGGCCCGCTTTGCAAACTAGTGTCATCAAGGATTGTCTCACGATCTTGCTCTTTACCTTCGGCCATATATATGTTGGATTTGAGCACATTCATTTCAAGCCCCGATTTCTCTCCAAAATCCCTTAAACAATTCATAAGCAATTGAATTGACCCCGAGTCCCCCCGAGAGAGGAGCATGAGGTCATCGGCGAAGACAAGGTGAGAGATTTTAAGCTTCTCACACATAGGATGGAACTTGAAGTTCGGGTCTTCGCCGTGTGCCATTTAATGAGCCGAGATAAATATTCCATACAAAGAACAAAAAGGAAAGGCGAGAGAGGGTCACCTTGTCTTAGCCCACGAGCTCCTTTGAAATGGCCTTTAAGGCTTCCATTGATGGATAAGGAATACGAAAGGGTGGTGACGCACTCCATGATCCACTTAGTGAAAGCCATTGGGAAGCCTAAACCCTCAAGCATTTGCCTCAAGAAGGCCCATGAGACGGAATCGAATGCTTTACGGAGGTCGATCTTGATCAAGCATCTCAGGGAGACTCTTTTTTCTCAAATATTGACAGAGTAATTGTTGCATGAGGTGAATATTGTCCGTCATATTTCTTCCCTTCACGAAAGCGGCTTGGGCTTCATCAACAATAGCGTCGAGGACCTCACTAATTCTCCTTGCGAGGATTTTGGAGCAAATCTTGTAAACCGTGTTGCAACACGCAATTGGCAGAAAGTCCGTGACTCGAGAGTAGTGGGAGGACTTAGGGACAAGCGTGATTCCGGTGTGGTTCCATTGCTTGAGGATGGACCCGGTTCGAAAAAAATTCTTTGATTGCCGCAACAAGGTCATTACCAACCACATCCCAACTCTTTAAGAAGAAGGTAGAGGTGTAGCCATCCGGACCCGGGGATTTGTCTCCTTCAATGCCTCTAAAAGTGGACTTGATCTCTTCATCGGTTACCGCGGCCATTAGAGTGCTACGATGGTTAGGGCTAAGGGTCGGCCCCGAACTAAGAATTTGAGGGTCAATGTCCTCCGTTTGCACCCCGGTTCCCAATAGGCCTTCATAGTAACGTATAAATTCCTTAGAAACATCCTCCATGGAGCCAGTTAATGTGCCATTGTTGTGTACAAATTATTTTTATTATACCGAGCACCGAATTAAATGATTCGTTTCCCGGGTCGATCTCTCGAGGAAAACTGTTCGGAATTTAATATTGGTGTTGATAACATATAAAATGAAAATAAAGCCTAAACATTCTAATCAAGATGAATTGGATAATAATTAACTAAAATATCAACTAAG